CCTAGAAATCTATGAAATCTATGAAATCAGATCGCTGGAGTTTCTAATCCAATACCATGGCTCTGACAGCATCAGGAGAGCTGAGCAGAGGTGCAGAGATGCACCTCACCAACTGTGCAATGCAGGAACAGAGAGTCTGGGATTAAGATTCCTCCCCAGTTCCTCCAGCAATCCAGAACTGGTGCCCTGACTGTTCTTATTACCTGAGCAGGCAGAGCTGCAAGCGTAAATAATCACAAGATTAGGCAACCTTCTAAAGAGAACTAGTACAACTGCAGCATATATTTCTGGGCTGCCTCCTGGATTGGATACGTTTTGAGTGGGATAATATTTCATGCTGATTTTGCCTTACTTTCCTCTGTTAAATGACTCTTGGTCTAACTGCCCCTGGATGCCAGCAGTGGAGAGTTTCTCCAGTGCTGGAAGTGACCCATAATCTTTTACATCACTCCTAGCATCATCTTTTATGCTTCCCATGATCTCCTATTCCTTGCACACTTGTTTGTTGTTTTTTTTTTGGTTTTTTTTAGTGGTGGTGGTGGTTTGATTTTTTTCTGTCGTCCTTGCTGCAAGGGAATCAAGCCATTCTCCTGCTCTGGGTGTGCTGGTAGGCAGCTGTATTCTGTAATGGTGCTGCTGCCCTGGTGTTTGCAGAGCTGTCATCACTCCTTGATCAGCCCAGGGGTCAGTTACTTCGCTTGGCCAGTTTTGGCTTCTGCCATTCACAGAGCAGGGCTCACCCTTGAGCTGTCTGCAGCACCTTTTGCAACACTCCCATCAGCATGTACAGGTAATTTCAAACCTATCAGTGTGAGCAGTTATTGTACTGCTTCTTCCCAGCCTGCATAGCTCGACTCTCTGGTCAGAGCAAGAATGTCTCTTGCCCTTGCCCCCTTGACTGTCCCTCATTTTTAGTGCTTCCTGCATCTGTTTTACTGCAGTCAAATGCCCTGAATTAGTCAGTTGTTTGTCTATGGAAAATCCCTTCCTCCCTGCACTATGACCTGCAGAAAAAGGACCCAGGGAGGGGAAATCCTTCATTTGCTCTGCAGTGGAGTTGCAGGCATCGGAATCATTTTGTTTCTCAGCTCCTCCTCTTCCAAAGGCTTCTCTTCCTGGTGCAAAGACTCTTCTGTAAAGTAGCAGAGTCAGTTTTGATCCTGGTCCTTGTGCAACTTGGTCTCTGAAATCCCTGTAACGGCTCTTGCAGGAGTGCCATGACTTTGTGTCTCACCGTCTGTGTGGCACTGGGCCAGTATCCCTTCACGCTGTCTTGAAGATGATTTTTGAGCAAAAACCCATCATAGGACACAACCAATAGTGCCATTTCCCTCTATCCTTTTCTGCTTCCTTCTGTTTTGTAATTGATTCATCTTTGTTGGCATCTGCTCCTCTGTCCTGCTCGTGCTCAGTGTAATTCCCTGCCTGCCAGTCCCTCATGTAACAGGACTTAGAAGATGGTGATGGGACCGGCCAGGTGTGGAGCAGACTGTCTCATTTGGAATGGGTTATACTTCAGAGACTAGATCAACTACGTTTGCTGGATACCAGAAGATCCAGTGATTTTTTCCAACTGTAGATTAGGGCACTGATCCTCTAAAAGCCCAAGTGGTTTTCAGGCAAACCAAGCTGCCCAGAGTGTCCAGCAGCCTTCAGATCCTTGCTGAGCTGCCAATGACAACACTTCGTGGTGAGGCAAAGGTTGTTGGAGACCATTGTTCAAAAGTTGAGACCATTGCCTGTGACCTGTCCTGGGCATCTCAAAAGAGCTGGGATTGCTTTGTTGTTCTGTCAGGTATCCTTTTGTCTCATATGATCTAGATTTAGATTAGATATAAGGAGGAAATTTTTTACAATGAGGGTGGTGAGGCACTGGAACTGGTTGCCCGGAGAAGTTGTGGATGCCCCATCCCTGGAACTGTTCAAGGCCAGGTTGGATGAGGCTTTGAGCAACCTGATCTAGTGGAATGTCCCTGCTCATGGGAGAGGGGTTGGAACTATATCATCCTTAAGGTCTCTTCCAACCCAAACCATTCTATGATTCTGTAACCTGTGCCATGCTAGAAACAGGATGCAGATACCAGCCTAGCAGTGGGCGTGCCCCCGTAAAGCTCCCTGTCTAGCATCCCCCAGTATTCCCACCTCAGCCGCTGTCTCTTGTCTTACCTGCCAGTGTCAGCTTGTAGCCAGAGGAGCCTTTTCTCCAGTGCCTGATGGGTCTTGATTACCCCTGCGCTGCCAGGAAGATAAGGCACAGCAGGACTCCTGGAACCTCCTGAGACCGAGACAGGTGTCCACCCATCGCACACTGTGAACCTTCCCACATCCTGATGAGTATGAGGTCCTTCTCTGGTGAAACTTCAGCTCCTAAAGATTTATGTTAGGGTTCTGCCCTCAATTAGCATGTGACTTAGCTCTCCCTAACGTGGATTAATTGATAAAGAAAAATTTCCTACCCAGCAGACCGATTCACACTAGACCTTACTGAGGTAAGGCTCACAGGATTGTGCCCCAAGTTTGCTGAGATCTGCCTGTGTCCTAGGCTTTGGACTTTTTGCTCAAACTTTAGAGCTGCTGAGGTGTTTGGCCAGACAACTCTAGGGAGGCAACAGCTATACCAAGTCAAATGGCCCAGGCAAACACCTCGATGATTTTGCTCTGGAACTTGTTTGTGCTGAGAGTTGGTCTAAGACATAATAAATCCTGCAGAACCTTAGGCACCAGCTTCCACAGAGATGGGATTCTGCCAGAGCGAGAAAGCACATTTCCAGCTCTCCTAGGTGTGAAGCAAAGCTTGGCTCCAGGACTGAGCGTTACCACTGCTCACACTGTCTGCTTGAGCTTGCAGGGAGCCTGAAGCAGGAGCTCTGAGAGTTGTTCTGCTTCCTCCTCCCCTCCAGAACAGAAAATTTAATATACTGGTAAGCAAGAGAACATGATTGTTCTCCAACTCAGTGGGAACTGCCACTGCTTCTCTTAACAAATGTCTGAAACTAATAAAAAAAAAAGAAAAAAGCAAAACTCTTTATAATAAAGGGAATCAGATTTTATTTTTATACCCTCAAAGTTAAAAATATGCATTTAAAAATATTTACAATGACTATATATGAAATAGCCTTTGTTAATGAAACAGCAACATACAGTACTAGAATATATCCACCAAACTGATAAAAGTCTACATAAGAAAACAGAAAGAGAGAGAAGGAGAGAGAGAGGTAAATAGCATCCATGCACAATCTGCAGCTGTGTGGTTTTTGGTACTCTCTGCCTTTTAGTTGTGGATGGAGTCACAGGAAGTTTTGACCTCTTGTCCCTTATAAATGCCACTTGTGACTGAGATTCTTTGAACTGACAGAAATTTGTGGGTTGCAGTAGTACTAACACCTTACTTTCCCATGCCAGCCTTTCACATGGGGACCTTGTATTACAGAGTGGACTAGGAATCTCTTAGCAACCCTGGGAGGTAGGTATCGTTTTACGGAAGAATTTGGCAGATGGAAAAGCACCAGGTTAAGTGACTGGCCTAAGGTTGTGCAGCAAGGAGCAGAACTCACAAGCCCTGCCTCATCTTTCCAAATCTCTCATTAGGGAATACACTTCCTCTGCTAACCAGTATCGGCTGCCTTTGAGATGAGCTGTGTCACAAAGCAAGGCTCTCAATTAATACCGTGTCCTGGGTGACGATGTGGGAAAAAACCCTGCCTATAGATAAGGGCTTGTCTCACTAAAGATCTGCGATGTTGCAGTGCTGTTACCGTGTTCTGGGGCTGAACAGAACATTTTCGTGTAGACACACACCTAAATGATTCCCTCCCTACATCTGCATCATTTAGCAACTGCATCCTCTGTAATTTGGAACCCCTGTGTATCTTCACCCCCACACTTTCTCTCTCTGTCTCTCTCTCTCTGCATCATCCATGCCTGTATATTTTCCCTTCCTACCCATATCCAATTCAACCATGAGAATGTCAAATAGTAAACAGAACAGCAAAAAAATTTACTGCCTTATTCCTGCAGATATTTTAATATGAATTTAATCTGATTTCTGTTGGGTTGCTTTTCAGTTTAATGTCTTTAACTTTCACATATGTGCATATATATGTGTGTGTGTATATATATATCTAAAAATGTAACAAAAGTCCCATCCCGTTTGTTTCAATGGACAAAAAAAGGGGTCGTAAGCCTCACTGCCCAACTCACAAGGCACACTGAAAGGTAAGTGAGAAGGGCTCTAGGAAGGGAAAAAGATGTCGCCCTTGTTTTTGTGGTGCCCTTCAATCATCGCTGCTGAACTTGAAGCTTTGTGAAGGTATGACATGATTTTGCAGAAAAGGAGAAGAGCTGTCTGGGTCACTTGCAGATTTCTGGTGCAACAGCCCCAGGAGTGCTAGATCAGTTGGAGCTGTGTCTCCCTCTCTTTGGTGAAGGAGTTTCTGAGGATTCTAGCTTTGTTAGTGATTTTTCTGTGGTGGTGGCAGTGGTGATGATGGTGGCTGTTTCTGTCTATTGGCCCAACAGTTCTCTCAGCAGAGCAATTCTTCCCCATTCCCAGTAGCCAACCCTCTCCCCTAGACTCCCATCAGCCTTATTTTTTCCTAAGAACAAGGTAGAGGATGCCGATGATGAAACTGAAGCAAAAGCAGATCCAAGCCAATATGAAGCAGTAGCCGTGGTGAGAAGTTGTGGCCTCGGACATTCTGCCGGTGAATCGAGCTGTGTAAATGGAGACTCCAATCAGAATGCACACCCCTGTGGGAAGGAAGAGGGAAAAGAAAAAGAGTTGGAAAATGCATAGAAACCAGCATTGCTGCAGTAATGAAGTAGTGTTGTCCCCTGAGATTGTAATACATGTCTTGTGCCATGTTAGAGAGGGGTTGCTGCCCATTAGGCTTACTTATGGAGGATTTCTCTTGCAGACATGACATAAGACACTCTGGGCTTGTTCAGTGGGTGCCATGGGGAATAAAGCTTTGTTACGAAGAAATCAGTAACGAGATCTGCAGACGGTTTGGTGTTATGTGTTTAATCCCATGAGCAGTAGCGGTCTGTTTATTTCCCTGCCCCTCGAAATACTCGAATCCTTTTTGTGGTCTTTCAAAGGTATGTTGCAAAACCCGTTGGGCTTTTCTAATGAAAATTTGGAAATATTTTCATTATATACAGTGAAAAAAAAAACAACAACACTTTCCAATTCCTCAGTGCTTTGTCAAAGAAATGGACCACTGGAAATATTTAGCTGGCTGACAACTTCCCCTGATGGCTGTGCATGGCCAATACGTGCAACTACTTGCGATTGCAGAGGCCGCGGGACGCATGCAAAGCCACTGCAAGACATGCATACTTACAGCAAACCAGCATGATGGCTCCAGTGATGTAGAAACGTTTGCCTTTCTCCAGGGTGAACAGCTGGACAATGAACATGATGAGCGCGATGACGGAGAAGATGATTGAGAGGACCATAAAGGCTTGCACAGCTTTGAGGGAAGCTGTGAACACACAGGGAATAGATTTGAGAAGGTCAGGATTCCTTGGTAGGTGCCAGGCCTTGGTATTGTGCACCAACATTTTCATTGCCACAATGAAAATGCAGGTGCAACTCACCCTCATTGCTACTGCTGACCGCCAGCTGCTCACAGGTCTGGTTGCAGAGCAGCCATAGTCCTGATGAGGCCGTCCCAAAGGTGGAAGAACCCACCATCCAAACCTGAAACAGGAAGAAACAGTCACGTCACGGGGGTAACGTATTGCTTTTCTGGCCAGTTGTCAGGCTCAGCTGTAAGGGGAGCGACAGTACGCCAAGTGCCACGAGACAGAGAGACGAAAAAGGCAGCACGTGTTGGTAGCAGATGAGCAGCCAAAGTCGGTGGGAGATGATGCAAGCTTCCAAAGCCGGGAGGCATTTGCTCCAGGAAAAACACCAGGGAAGACTGTTAACATGATCAGGGGGCAAATGGCTCAGGTCACCCTCTCCCTGTGCCAGGCGGAACGAGGGCACGGCGGGGCCAGCAAACCTCCGGGGCGGGTGCGAAGGGCCCCGAAATCCGCCCCAGCGAGGTGCAGGGGGCGCGGGCAGACCCCGGCCTCGC